TTTGACTTTCGTAAGGGCCGTTCCACATGTGATGCACTTCGCCGTCTGAGAAATATCACTAGCGATGCCGTAAGGTCGGGTGGTTTTGCCATTGTTGTATCTCTGGATATCCAGAATGCCTTCAATAGCATTCCCTGGAGGATGATAAGACGAGAATTGAAACGAAAAGAGTTCCCGCTGTACATCAGGATTATTGACTCCTATATCTTTAGTAGGTTTATCCAATATGTTGGATCGGACGGAAAACAATATAAGAGATCTATGGAGGCAGGTGTCCCACAGGATTCGGTCCTCGGACCGATATTGTGGAATATCTCGTTTGATGGTGTTCTGGATCTTGCCCGAGGAAGAGGAGTCGTGTGAAATTCTTTGTTACGCGGATGACAACCTCGTCGTTGTTAGTGGTCAAAATATAGAACACACCCGACTCAGAGCCGGGGTGTTTGTCACGCGCGTCGTTAACCGTATCCATAGTTTAGGGCTAAAAGTGGCTTCTAATAAAACAGAGGCCACCTTATTTCATCCAAGAGGCTCTCACGGACTCCCGATGGATACATTGATCGGCGACATACCAATCCCCTTCCAATCTACCATAAAGTACCTTGGCATTATGGTGGATAATAGATGGAATTTTGGTAATCATGTTAAATTTATAGTTGAAAAAGCAAATAAAGCTATGAGGGCCTTGAATCGTTTAATGCCCAACTTACGAGGCCCGGACGAAAAACGCCGGAGGTTATACGCAGGAGTAATCATGTCAATCATACTATACGGTGCACCTATATGGGGCGATGTTTTATCCACCAATAGAATGTCCAGATTGCTGCTTCCCATTGAACACGTGGTAGCACAGCGGGTGATATTCGCTTACCGCACAGTGTCATATAATGCGGCACTATTGTTGGCCCGTCTTCCACCGATACGACTTATGGCTTTGACCCGCAAAAATACATACGATAGGATTGTGCTGCATAGAGAAAATGAGACCTTAACTAAGGATATCCTAAAACAAATTAGAGAAAAAGAGCAATTCAGGATGCTTGACGATTGGCGAGAATTCTTGGAAAGACCAAACACGTCGGGCGAGTTCACAAAGATGGCGATAGTTCCGAGGTTGGAGGCGTGGTTGGCGCGTTCACATGGTGGCATGACCTTTCATCTCTCGCAGGTTTTGATAGGGCACGGTTGCTTTGGTAAGTATTTATTTCATATTGGTAAAAGACCCGACACAAGCTGCGACCTCTGCGGCGAAGATATGGATGACGTGTAGCATACGCTGAGAGAATGCCCTGCTTGGGATCCTGAGAGAATCGCTCTTAGAAAAATCTTACAACTAGCTAGGGGTTTTACGCTAGGAGATGTGATCGAGGCCATTTGTTCCACGAAAGCTAATTGGAACGCTCCGTCCGCATATGTAGAGAAGGCCATGAGAGAGAGAGAGAGAGAGAGAGAGGACGAAGAGAGACGCCGAGAGAGGGCGGGCTCCATCCGTCTTTTATCCGAGGGTGGTGGCTCCGATTGGTAGCTTTGTCGATCGACGCATGGTTACGGGGGG